ATGTAGGAACATAGCCATTCTTTCCCAAGATGGACTATGCTCTTTGGGATTTGTAGTGTTCATAGAGCAGTGTACATGACTGCAAATAATGTGTACTGCTCATTCCAAACAATAGGAAGTTAGGGGGTAAAGGAGAGGCTCAGAAAAAACAGATTACAGGTCCATTAAGTAGTGGATATGTGTCACAGTCGTGCATACAAGAGCCAGGCACAGGCTCTCACTGTATTAACCTCTTGCCGTCTGCCTGCTGTTTATAAACGGCAGGGCGGTGGCACTCTAGGGGCGGGTTGCCGTTCCTAAACAGCACCCGCCTTTTCTAGCTGTGCGCGCTCCCTGGGAGCGTGCACCACCGCGATCCGGTGTCCGCTGTGTCCTCCGGACACAGTGAAACACCGATCGTCGAACGGGACCTCTGTACGAGGTCCCGATCATGTGATCACAGGATTGGCGAATCAGTGATCACATGCAAAGTAGTAAGCAAGATGTCACTTGTGACATCATTGCTTACTACGTGTGAAATCTGTGAATGATCACAGAGGTCACATGGTACAAGGCTATTCACAACAGCCTTGTACCATGTGACAAGCTGTGACCAATCACAGCTCACTCAGTACTTCTCAATGACTGCAAGAATGCAGACAGAGAGAAAGAGAAATGATTGCTTTTACATCCTATATAGGTGTAAAAGCAATCAGTGTAAAAAAAAAAAAAAAAAATCTTCATCACCCCCCACAAGTAGTACAGTGTCACCATGGAGACACTGTACTGCTAGGGTGACAGTATGTAAAAAAAATAAATAAATAAAAAAATAATAATATAAAAAAAAATAAAATAAAAATGTAAAATTTTTTTTTTAAAAAATTATAATTTTTGGTTGTAAACTAATTTGGATTTTTTTTTTTACTAAATAAATAACGGAATACATTTTGGCCAAGATTTATGATGAAATATTATTTATTTGCAAAATTTTATTTAAAAAAAATAGTAAAAAAAATAAAAATCCCAGCGGTGAATAAATACCACCAAAATGAAGCTTTATCTGTCTCAATAAAATGGTAAAACATTCATATGGGTACAGTATTGCATGACCGCGCAATTGTCATTCAAAGTGTGATAGCGCTGAAAGCTGAAAATTGCCCTGGACATGAAGGGGGTAAAAGTGTCCGGACAGGAAGTGGTTAAGAAGTCTTCCAGTATCCCCTCATTCCCCCTCCCTCAGGAATGCGATCAGCTTGTGATGCTGAGCCCCTGCCTAACAATTCTTTGCCAAAAATGGATTGGCTTGTCCATGGTAGGAAGATACCAGTTGATTTGGTGTAGAAAAATAAGCTGTTATGTTTTGGGTGTAGACAGAGAAGTGAGGACTGTCTGCGTGCAACATCTCGCAGAGAAAGAGAAAAGAAGATCTCCCTGCCTTAATATCGAAACTAACAGTGGGAGATCAAAGCATCCTTTTGGTCATGAGACTTGAAACTGCTTAAGACCAAGGCCGACTGGCAAGTACTTTAACCCTTTAAACTCCTTTCTGTTATCTGTTTGCTGTGCTGTTATGCTCTGTATTTTTATATATATATATTGGTTACATCATCTTTTCTGTAAATATTTCTACTGCATTGGCACCCTTTTGACCTTTTAGTAAAAATCTTACTTTCAAAAGTGACACCTCTCACCCGAGATTTGGACCACTCTTCCTTTGCAAAAGCTCCCTGAATATAATCTCTCCACAGGTGTTCAATGGGATTTAATCTCTCATTGCTGCAGCTTCTGCCATCCATTTCTGAGTGCTTTTTGACGTAGCGCTGGAAGACTAGCTTTCTGACACTGGGTACAGTGCGACCCAAAATCCTTTGGTAATCCTCAGATTTCCCAGTCAAGGCACCCAGTCTCATTGAACCTCCACCATATTTTACCGTAGGTACTGTGTTTTGTTCTTTGTAGGCCTCATTCCGTTTTCGGTAAACAGTAGAATGATGTGATCTTGGTCTCATCTTCCACAAGACTTTTTTCCCAGAAGGCTTTTGGCTTACTCAAGTACATTTTGGCAAACTGTAGTCTTGCTTTTTTATGTCTCTGTGTCAGCAGTGGGGTCCTCCTGGGTCTCCTGCCATAGCGTTTCATTTCATTTAAATGTGCGAACGGATAGCTGACACTGATGCTCCCTGAGCCTGCAGGACAGCTTGAATGTCTTTGGAACATGTTTGGGGCTGCTTATCCACCAACTATTCTGCGTTGCAATCTTTCATCAATTTTCCTCATCCGTGACCAGGGAGATTAGCTACAGTGCCATGGGTTGCAAACTTCTTGATAATGTTGCGCACTGCAGTTCTCTGGAGATGGACTTGTAACCTCAGATTGTTGATATTTTGCCACAATTTTGGTTCTCAGGTCCTCACAGTTCTCGTCTCCTCTTTCTGTTGTCCATGCTTAGTGTGGCACAGACAGACGTTAAGTGAACGTCTCTCCTTTTTATCTGCTTTCAGGTGTGATTTCTATATTGCCCACACCTGTTACTTGCCCCAGGTGAGTTTACAGGAGCATCACATGCTTGTAACATTCTTATTTATCCGCAGTTGTGAAAGGGTTACTTTTGTCCAGCCCATTTTTGGAGGTTTGTGTGACATTATGTCGAATTTGCTTTCTTTCCTCCCTTTTTTTGGTCCCAATACACACAAAGGGAATAAACATGTGTATAGCAAAACATGTGTTAATGCAATACGTTTGTGAAAATACATGATTTCCTGGAGAAATATCAAGGGTGCCAACAATTTATGACTGTATATTGGCCCATCTTTTCTGTAAATATTTGTACTGCACCCTTTTGGACCTTTTATAAATCTTACTTTCTAAAAGTGTTGAAGTTTCTAAAGCTCCTGAATATAACTTACGAATCCCTGCAGCTGAAGAGCGCTACTATGAGTATTTAACCCTCTGTATAACCGGTCTGTAGAGATAGCGGGATACTGACTTAACCAACCATCCTAGTGTATTGCTGAGTTTCCTCTTTCTCTGTATTAAAAGGTGGTGGTGGCAGTGTGAAGGGTTAATTGTGTAATTAATCTGACCCAGTAACAAGCGCATTCAGGGCTGCCGGTACATCAAAATTTGGAAAATCGTTGTGCAGGGTGCAGCTGGGTGCGGCATTGTTACGCGGTTTTAGATTGGATAGTCCTTCGGTCACGAGTTTGGTGAGAAGGGTTGGGGTCTGACGCCGCGCCCATCACAATAGGTATGGATTATTTTTGGAAAGTAAGATTATCGTTTAGTATTACTTTAAGCTGCTTGTATTCTTTACAGTGTATGCCCCGGTGGACATAAATTTAAGTCCTCATGCACACTGGACGTTTTCAGAAGGCTGGTAACTATAATGGTGTAAAGTCACGTTAAAAATTTGTGTTTTTCAGCTTTTTTAAGCATTTTTGCATTAGCATTTAGCGGAGCTTTGCCACATTTGCATTGTTTTAACAAAAAAATATTTTTTTTGGTCAAAAAAGTCCAAAAACGCCAGTTTACCGCGTTTTACAGCGTTTTGCCACATTTTTCAGCATTTAGAGCATTTTTACAGCTACAAATCTTCTCTAGAAACCCACTAGTCCTGGGTTTTTTTTCCAGCAAAAACAAAACGTTGATTACAGTCTATGTGTGTATGGACACATAGGATAACATGCTGGGGGGTTTACTGGCTGTAGAAAAAAATGTCAAATGCCAAAAACAGCCTCTGTAAAAACATCCCGTGTGCATGAGGACTAAAGCTGAACTCCAAGTACCAAAAACTCATTTAAATATATTCCTAGCCATACAAGATGTAAATCTACTTTGAGTGCACCGAATGCCTTTGCACACCAAGATTCAAATAAAAATTGCATGGCTCCTGTGGACAGTGGGGCTATTTACTAAAACTGGAGAGTGCAAAATCTGGTGCAGCTCTGCATAGTAACCAATCAGCTTCCAGGTTTTAGGGTTCATTTACACTTCAGCTGATAAACTCACGTTTAGGAACTTTTCTGCATTTTTTTCAGCAGCCCCTGAACTCTCCCTAATGTTTCCTATGTGTCCATGTTCACTATGTTGTTTACAGGCAGTTGAGTTTACAGTTGTTTTTTGAATGCACCAAACTTGCGGTCAAGAGTAGATTTTATCAGCATTTCAAATGCCAAATGCTTGTAAATGTGTGTAAACGCATTTAACCGTGTTTGCGTTTAGAAGCGTTTTTTTAACTGTTCCATGACCAGATGCTGCCCAGAGCCTTTTTTCATCATCAGAAATGCATGCAAAGTGTTTTCAATGTATTCAAATGGACCCGGTACACCAGCGCAGTCAGTTCCAAGGAAAAAAATGGTAGAATGTGCTGCATTATGCTCATGATGGGATCCATAGTGAAGACAACCAGAAAAGACAGGTCATCTCAACACATACTACACTCTCTGCTTCTGCTCTCTCTATTTCTCCTAAAATGTCTGAAATAGTTAATTTTTTACTATTTTTCAGTGCATTCTGGGCATTTTGGAAGGTCTCCTGAAGTTATCTTAAAAAAACGCTTCTAAATGCAAACGCATATAAACGCAGTATGCAAACGCAGCTAACAGACGTTTTTTAACCTACGTTTTCCAACAGTCAGTTTCCATCGTTCAGAAGTGTTTTCCAAACTCCCCGTGTACATGGAGCCTTATTGTCAAAGCTTAACTGAACAAACTGAAGTTAGAAGCTGATTGGCTCCCATGCACAGCTGCACCAGATTGTAATTGCTCCAGTTTTAGTAAATCTAAATGTCTGCTTATCCCAAAGTTCAACCCATTAAGCAGGAATTTCCCAAAATTCAAACTGTGAATGACCAGCATAACGGTTAGAATTTGGAAAAATCCAAACCCATATTAACCACCTCCCGCACGCCATATAGTAATATGACGGGCGCAAGGTGGTTCTCTCGTTCTGGGATGACGTCCTCCCATTCTCACTGCGCATACGTGGCTCAGGAAGCGCGCAGCGTGGCGATTGGCGGATCCGATCACGGAAAGAGCCGAAGATGTCAGCTCGGTCATGTGATCAGCTGTGTCCAATCACAGCTGATCACATGTAAACAGGGAAATGCCGGTTATCGGCATTTCTCTCCTCTCAAGCTGTCACGCTGACAGAGGAGAGGAGAGCCAGAAATCGGCTTTCCGCGGAGGGGACATGTACACTGATCATCAGGGCACTGATGATCAGTGTGCCCTGATGATCAATGTAGCCCCAGCATTGCCACCTGTCAGTGTCCATCAGTGCCTTATGTCAATGCTCATCAGTGCCTCGTGCCAGTGCCACATCAGTGCCACATATCAGTGCCTACCAGTGCACATCAATGCCACATATCAGTGCCCATCTGAGCTGCCTTTCAGTGTCACCCATCAGTGCCAGTCAGTGCCACCTATCAATGCCAATCAGTGCCAGTCAGTGCCACCTATCAGTGCCAGTCAGTGCCGCCTATCAGTGCCAGTCAGTGCCGTCTATCAGTGCCAGTCAGTGCCGCCTATCAGTGCCTGTCAGTGCCGCCTATCAGTGCCTGTCAGTGCTGCCTAACAGTGCCAGTCAGTGCCACCTATTAGTGCCAGTCAGTGCCGCCTATCAGTGCTGCCTACCAGTGCCATATATCAGTGCCATGTATCAGTGCTGCCTTTCAGCGCCCATCAGTGATGCCTGTCAATGCCCATCACTGCCACCTACCAGTGCCTCCTCATCAGTGCCCATCAGTGCCACCTATCAGTGTCCATCAGTGCAGCCTATCAGTGCCCATCAGTGCAGCCTCATTAGCACACATCAGTGAAGGAGAAAAATCACTTATTTACAAAATTTTATAACAAAAACTAAGAAAAAACATTTTTTTTTTCAAAATTTTCAGTGGTTTTTGGTTTGTTTAAGAAAAAATAAAAAACCCAGAGGTGATTAAATATCACCAAAATAAAGCTCTATTTGTCACAAAAAAATGATAAAAATTTCATATGGGTACAGTGTTGCATGACTGCGCAATTGTCATTCAAAGTGCAACAGCGCTGAAAGCTGGAAATTGTCCTGGGCAGGAAGGGGGTAGAAGTGCCCTGTAGGCAGGAAGGGGGTAGAAGAGCCATGTAGGCAGGAAGGGGGTAGAAGTGCCCTGTAGGCAGGAAGGGGGTATAGGTGCCCTGTAGGCAGGCAGGGGGTATAGGTGCCCTGTAGGCAGGCAGGGGGTATAGGTGCCCTGTAGGCAGGCAGGGGGTATAGGTGCCCTGTAGGCAGGCAGGGGGTATAGGTGCCCTGTAGGCAGGCAGGGGGTATAGGTGCCCTGTAGGCAGGAAGGGGGTATAGGTGCCCTGAAGGCAGGAAGGGGGTAGAAGTGGCCTGTAGGCAGGAAGGGGGTATAGGTGCCCTGTAGGCAGGAAGGGGGTATAGGTGCCCTGTAGGCAGGAAGGGGGTAGAAGTGGCCTGTAGGCAGGAAGGGGGTATAGGTGCCCTGTAGGCAGGAAGGGGGTATAGGTGCCCTGTAGGCGAGGGGTTAATAACACAACATTACCACCTGGAGGTTTCTTGAATTTCGATTCTATACTTGTATATATGGAGAGGCTGCACCAGCTACTCCCTGAGATGACAGCAGACACTTAAATTGCCACATAACAAAGTGCTGGGAGGATTACATGAAGGAAAAATGAATACCCCCCCCCCCCCCCCTAACCTTTGTAGTTAAGAAGGCTGTCATTTTACAGGCGGTTGCCGTGGTCCTGCTCCTGTGTCCAGCTATGGCAGGAAAATTCAGTTGAGAGCTCTCATAAGCACACTGGTGACAGTTATCAGCAGAGGCATGATTTGAATGTTACTGGCTGAACCTGCTCATTTGCATATCTTTGCAAAGGATTCTGGGAAATGGGTTTTGCCACCTCAGGGTTGATCAAATCTGAATTATTTGTGTTTTTAGATGGTTTATAGAACCAGAAAGATTTGGGTGTGAACATACAAGCCAAAAGAAAGATTTTAATGTTAAATTCAAATTTGACTCTCCATAGGTTGATATTTTGGTAGTTTGGGCGGTTTAACCACTTGCCGACCGCGCATAGCCGAATGACGGCTGCACCGCGGCCGGCTAGTTCTGGGTGGACGTCATATGACGTCCTCCCAGAACGCGCTCTCCTGCGCGCCCCAGGGGGCGCGCACCCGGCGATCTCCGTGATCGCTGTGTCCTACGGACACAGCTGATCACGAGATGTGGTGAAAGGCCGATCCCACCGGCCTTTTACCACATGATCAGCGGTGTCCAATGACACGCTGATCACAGGAAAATGCAAGTGCCGGTTCTCGGCTGCACTTTCCTCACGCTGTCAGATCGTGAGGAAAGTACTGCCGAGAACCGGCAGTTGTCAGAGCGGGGATCGGCACCGATCATCAGGGCACTGATGATCAGTGCCCTGATGATCGGTGCCCAGCAGTGACCCCCGCAAGTTCCTCCCAGCAGTGCGCCCACTAGCCCTGCCCACCCATGCCCAGCAGTGCCCCCACCTGTGCCCAGCAGTGCCCCCACCTGTGCCCAGCAGTGCCCCCACCTGTGCCACTCTGCAGTGCCACCTACCTGTGCCCAGAAGTGCCACCTACATGTGCCAGCAGTGCCACCCACCTGTGCCCACCAGTGCCACCCACCTGTGCCCACCAGTGCCACCTACCTGTGCCCACCCACCAGTGGTGCCCACCAGTGCCACCCACCAGTGCAGCCCAGCAGTGCTGCCAGTCAGTGCCACCAGTCAGTGCCCAGGGGTTGTGCCAGTCAGTGCCGCCAGTCAGTGCCCAGAAGTGATGCCAGTCAGTGCCGTCTATCAGTACCCATAATCAGTGTCACCTATCAGTGCCGCCTATCAGTGCTGCATATCAGTGCCGCCTATCCGTGACCCCTAATTAGTGCTGTCTATCAGTGCCGCCTATCCGTGCCACCTCATTAGTACTGCCTATCAGTGCCCTTTAGTCCGCCTATCAGTGCCCATCAGTGCCGCCTATCAGTGCCCATCAGTGCCGCCTCATCAACGCAAATCAGTGAAGAAGAAAAAATACCTGTTTGAAAAAATTTTATAAAAGAAACAAATAAACTTTTTTTTTTTTTTTCAAATTTTTTGCACTTTTTTTAATTTATAGCGCAAAAAGTAAAGCGCCCAGTGGCGATTAAATACCACCAAAAGAAAGCTCTATTTGTGAGAAAAAAATGATCAAAATTTCATATGGGTACAATGTTGCATGACGGCGCAATTGTCAATCAAAGTGCGGCAGCGCTGAAAGCTGAAAATTGGCCTGGTAAGGAAGGGGGTATAAGTGCCTGGTAGGCAAGTGGTTAAAAAGACTCGAAGTTACTTAGCAGTTTGAGAGGTTGGGAAAGCTCAGTGACCAGGTGTGAAGGATCTCTGGGGCCAACCCAGTGACACTGAGGTGATGATCTCTCTGAAGTTCATTGATACTGATGCGAGGATCGTTCAGCAATTACTGACAGGAGTGATACTAACATTAGGATCTCTCTGGGGAGTTCAGTGATACTGACAAAGGGGATCTGATCTAATGACGTTCAATGATACTGACAGATGAGGATCTCACTGGAGAGAAGTTCAGTGACACTTAGGCAATAGACGCTTCTCTCAGCCTAGAACCCCATTCCAGAACACTTGGAAGCTGAGCATGATGGTTGTTCCCTGTGCCTCTCCTTTTTATGTTTTTTTATGTGTTTTTGCATTTGAGACCCCTTACTGTTATCTCACATATAGATTATTATTATTATAGACAAATTTACCGCCCTAACAACTCCCACAGTTTTAACACTACATAGACAAGTAATATACCGAAACGTGCGGATTGTTCCCGATCGGATTGCTATTACTTTGTGGAACGTTTCGCCGAATGGTTCACGAAATATCGGCGTTTTTTGTGGTGAAATTTTCCCATAGGAATGAATGGCGCAACTAGAGTGGGAGCTGACAAAGCTAGAGTGTGGAAGGAAAAATCAGGACATGATTTGTAAACTGCCATCACTCCCTCATTTTCAAGCCCACCTACACAAATCTTATATCAAAACGTTCAGCTATCCCTGCTGCCACTAACAATGTCCACGGCTAAGCCACAGTCCTGATAGTTTTCACAATATGACCATTTGTTTGCAACTCATGCCGCCCATTGACTTTCATTGAAACTTCACTCGCAGCCACCTGAAATTTGAAGGGACATTTCTAAACTGCGACTGTGCCTTCATGTTTAATATTTCAGAGACATACTATGCATCAAAATGTAGGTCTGGGTCTTGTGATTCTCACAATATAAAGCTCTTTGCTGTATTTATACTTTTAAAACCACAACCATTTGAACATGGCAACCACCAGTGAACTGAGCAAGTTGTAGCAGTTTGTTTATAAAAGTTCCTCTCAGCTTGCACTAGAGTGAGTTGCCATAACAACCCAGCTGTGTCAGCAGCCAGCAGAGTGACCAAAGCTACTCCGCCCACTCCAGTTGTAGACTACTGCTGCAGGCAAGAACACTTCACACAATTCCCCAGAAATTGTAGATTTTTTTCTAGTAATAATTGTACAACTAGTCCAGAGTGCACTCTAGGTCCAATATACGGCCCAATGTCCCCTGAGAGGTAACCCATAAGCAGTAGGTAAAGGTCTCTGTGTAGCAGGTGTAAAGGGATAGTCTTTAATCCCAACTCTTCAGCCGCCTAGCGTTGGGGCCCAGTTGTACCAAACTCATTAGTCCGAATCCAGCTCAGACCACCAACATGCAGCAGTGATGGTGCACCTTAGACAGTGATGTTCACTTTCCAATCTCCCTCATGGCAAGAGGAAGATGTGTCCTCTGCAGCCTAAGAGAATGCAGCCATTTCTCCTCCACCTGGCAATCTCCTATTGGGAAATGCCGTTCAAAAGCTCTTGATTACAGTAGAGTCTGTCTTCTCTGGACTACAGTTCCCACAGTGCAATGCTGCCTGACTCAGCCTATTGAACTCTTCCTGCTCAGCTGCTCACCCCTCTTGCTGTTAACCAGTTCAGCGCCACAGGGCAGCAGCTGCAGCCAATGTTGGGATTTTCTTTCACTGTCAATGATAGCAGTATACAGGACATAGGAAGGATGGATTTCCCTAATGGGGGCCACAGATAACAATACAAACCTGACAGGGGGTCCAAGTCCTCTCCATTGTATCCAAAACCAAAATTTTTTTTTATAAATACACAGGTGTTCTGTACATCTCCGTGCAGACAATCCCATTGCTGTCAGTTTGGACTCAGTGACTGCTGCAGCTCCCAACGTGACATTCCTGCAGGTTCAGGTGCACAGCCCCGAATGCACACATGGTCCCAGGCAGCACTAAAGTGGGATTATAGTCCTCCTCAATAGACATGTGCAGAGCGAAAAATTGGTTTTGTTTTGGATCTATTTGTTACGTTACTAATTTATTTTCAATGCAGTCGTAAGGAAATTCATTTTGTTTCGTTTCGTTTATTCGTATT